AATGATAAAAATTATTTTGTAATCAAAGGCTACGAGTCACAACTAGATGACAAGTGTTGGAAATCAATCTAATATTTAATGATTAAATTAGAAGTACATAAAGACATATAAAAACATAACTACGTTTCAACCCCTTATTAGGTCATCCTCAGTGTACAATTTTATAAAATTAAACAAACTTACTATTTAATCGTCAACATAGATATAACAGTTCTATCACATATTTCTATTCGAAATATTTGCTATGTTAAGGCGATTTTACTATTCCTCTTCGAATATTTTATGTCCATATCCCTGATGTTATTCTTCCTTCTCTAGCCTTCGATTGTTGCAGACAGTAACGCAATGCAAATTCACCCATTGCAATTTCAAAATTTAAAAGCATTCTCAGTACCTAGATTAAAATAACCATTAACTAATATTATATAATTTGACCAAATTGTATGTCGACGATTAAATCGCAAGTTTTAATTTTATAAAATTATACACTGAGGATGACCTGGTAGAGGTTGAAACGTATGGTTATGTTTTTATATCTATATGTACTTCTAATTTAATCATTAAATATTAGATTGATTTCCAACACTCGTCATCTAGTTGCGACTCGTAGCCTTCGATTATAAAATAATTTTCAGTGAATAACATCGTTGATGTTTATAATTTATTTATATAGGTCAAGAATTATAATGTTCTCTTCATCGACAATCCTGTTGGTACCGGATACAGTTATGTTAAAAGCAAATCGGCATACGCGAGAACAAACATGCAGGTCGCAAAGGACCTCGTGGAATGTATGAAAGGATTCTATAAGGAATTACCGAAATTCGAAGCTGTTCCGACGTATATCACAACTGAATCGTATGGCGGAAAAATGGGCGCGGAGTTTGCGTTACTCTGGTATCGAGTAAGAAATACAAACATGCTAATTAAAAAAAATAATAAAAAGAAAAAATTTGGTTCCATTAAAAAAAACAGCGATATTAAAATTTTAAAAAATGTGACAAAAAGAAATTCTTATTAATTGTCAGATCTGTTCTTCTTTAAAACGAACTGCAGTTTTTTTTCTACGATGCATTATCAGATTGTCAAAAATTATGTAAAAAATTTAAATTAATGATGATAAGAAAAACATTTTGTACATGCAAAGCCATAACATTTATATGTACATAGTCATCTAATAATTTAGAAAATTATAGATGATGTCTACACAAATAATAGTAACGGTAATGACATCGTAACAATTTACTGAATACCTATGATGAAATAACTTGTGTTTCTTGTAAAAAACTGTGAAATTCACATGCATATATATGAGTATAGTATGAGTGTTCTGCAGGCTCAGAAAGCTGGTACCATCAAGAGTAATCTAAAAGGAATCGCACTCGGAGACTCTTGGATCTCTCCTATCGATTCCGTAATGACATGGGCACCATTTTTGCTCAACACAGTAAGTAGGATTATTTATCATCATTGTAATGTCCGTATGAGCTCATGATTTATTTATTAATGAAATAGATCTAGTTGACACAACAATTAAATAAGAAAGCTATTGCGATGAATAATATCATCGAGGAAATGGAATTAATACACAACAGACAATAATCAGATCTCAAGATCCAATAATATCAACTTCTTTTCTCGTCGTTCTTTTTTATCGATGCTAATTGATCATACGAAAAGTTTCCTGTTTTATCTATTTAAAGCAAATTTATATAAAACTTTTCGAAAACTATTGTATAATTCGCAGGGTATGGTGGACACAGAAGGTTTCAAAGAAATTGATGCAGCAGCACAAAAAGTAAAGAACAATGTCGAGCTTGGCAATTGGAGAAGTGCAACTCAAGAATGGTCTAATACAGAAATGGTCATTTTAGAGAAGACTGACAATATTGATTTTTATAATATTCTTACAAAACAGTCTCCATTACGATTGTTCAATTATGAAAAATTTTTTTTATTTAAAAAAAACAAACCTGGTACATAATATCATTACATTGTTTTATAAAATTACATTAAATAACGAAATTTTGATTCCATTTTTAATATTAATATAAAAAAACATGTAACAAGATCCATTTATCGGAATGTCATTATTATTATGTACTACTATACATTTTTTTCTTTGTAATTGCAGTCATGTATCTAAATCTCAGTGCAAATGAGGCTTTCTCACTCGAAAATTTGATGAACGGTCCAGTAAAGAAAGCGCTTGGTATCAAATTCGTTCACGGCAGTCAATCCTCTAACGTTTTTGAATACTTAGCAGAAGATTTTATGAAACCTGTTACTCACATAGGTATCTGTCAAGTGTATTGACAGAATGTCATTGTAGCGAAAGCGAAAAGAAGAAATTGGTATTGATTGATGGAGATAGTTATTTCCAAGCATAGCGAATGTAAAAGTTGGGCAACTCGTAAGCATAAAAGAAATTGTTGAAGCAGTTTTGCTAAACATGTAAAATAAAACAATATTTATATATTAATATATAAATATATAAATATATAAAGTAATTGACTGCTGCGATGCATTCTAATACATTCGCTTTAAATCAAATTTATTTATAATGTAAAGAATTATTATTCCGCATAATTAAAATTTATAATATATTCTAGTTACTAATATAAATGTAAATGTAATTATTTTAGTGGAAGCATTACTAAATGAAACCGACTTGAACGTATTTGTGTACAATGGACAAATGGATTTGATTGTCGATACACTAGGTAAGTTGTTATTTTACACTAGGAAAAAGATTTAATGCCTTCAGCAAAATTTAGTTAAAGCATTTTTAATAGAGATAAAATATCTTCTTTATATAACAAAAAATTTAGTTCCTTTTACAAAATAATTTCTCTACTTTATAAATAACAAAAATATTTTTGTATATTAATTAAACAATTTAGTTTGCATATAAAATTATAATTTTGTTTAGTACATTTTAACCAAAAATTTTTGTTCGATATATTTCTATCAAATTTTTGTTGTTACAAGAAAATT